GATCCTTGGAATTGGAGATTCAACTTTCTTGGATTCATCATATTCAAGATCCATTCATAACTACTTTTTCAAAGTACTGAAGCACAAAAAGTCAATACTATCCTCACTGGAATCGAATTCATGACCTTTTATTTGAGATAATCACTTCGTGCCACTATACCACAAGGTCATTGGCCTAACTTTTCATCTTTTATGGCGCCGCTTAGAGAATTGACATTGAATGTGTTTAATCAAACATATTCACATATAAACAAATTTTTTCGCACAAATTTTATAGTTAATCATCATACAATTTTTCTTCCTTGGTCTTACCATCTCTAACTATATTCCTCAAAGGCATGAAGCAACTTATTTAATTAAGCCCATCGATGCTTTCTTTTTCCGGCCACCTCCAAAGAGGCAAAGACAAATAACCCTTTCTATCTAGCTTATCTTTAATTTGATGAATATGGACCACCATATATCTAGAATTCAAATATAGTTTTATACATTTTACTTGTTATGTTTATTTTTATGAAAACTACTTGTTATGTTTATTATTATTGGTCAAACTAATTAATTTTCTTTCTTTCTTTCTTTTTTTGATCATTTTCTTATAATTTTTAAATTTAATGCTTTGTAGTAATAGTACTTTTTATGTAATTTTTAAATATATAAATTTTATATACAAACTTTAATATAAATTAAATATTGTAAAATTTAAATTATAAATATCTTGAGTCAAATTTCATTAACTGGACGCAAAACATAAAATGAGACTGAGAAAATATAACTAAAAATGAGTTTTTATTATTCTTATTATTATTTTAGAGAAACAATGATGTTAAATTTATTATATTAATAATAACTTGAGTCGTCAAAACAGTAATAGTTTCTTTAGTTTGGTAAATATGAATTGATCACCTACAAATTTGCTATTATTATTATTATTATTATATTATTATTATTATTATTATTATTATTATAAAATAAAATGATAAGAGGCCAGGGAAAATAATAATTAAAGGGGGAAATTGAGATTTTTTTAATTAACTAAGTTTCATGATTGATTTACATCTGAATGGAGCAAAAAATGTTAAAAGACTATCTTAATAGAGTTCAGTAATAATTCAACTCTAAATTTAATTTGTCTTACAAATATAAAAAATTATAATACAAAAATAAATATAAAAATAAAAGTTCACGGATTGATACTAACTTGCGTATTCAAATTTCTATCCGCTGTTTACTCATTTAAATATGCAAGTAGATATAATTTGGCTAAATTAATAAAATGTCAATTAAATATGCAGTACGTACTACATAGTATTTATTCTCTGCAATTTCTGCAATAGGCATTTATAGAGTACACATTACCATAATTTTTGGTGCATGTGATATCAAGTTGACATTCTTAATTATGTCTTAATTTATCAACTTAGCGTATTATTTCATCAATGTGGATGGCAGGATGGACACCAATAACAACATATCTAATTCATAGAATGGGTTACCGATAGAATAACATTATCGAGAATATGTCAAATTTGTTGTTTGATAAGTCATTTTATTTCTAAGAATAATATTTCTGATAATGATCTATTTGCATTGCAAGGGAAAATAACTATTTGATGGGTCAATGACATTGTGATCTAGTGACACGAAATGACTTTTCCAAATGGGAGATCATGGATTCGAGCCCCAATAGGGCGGTATTGACTCTTTGTGTTACTATATTGTAACATAGTCGGTAGTACTAAAAAAAAAAAAAAAAAAAAAAAACTATTATGTCATTTTGAGACTTCGTTTTGAGTGGAATCAAATTATGATATAGGTCCTTTCAAAAAAAAAATTACGATTTAGGTCTAGTTAAAGTGAATTGGATTATCTTAATTCAGATAATTATTGTGAAAAATTGATTGTTAACATTAAGTTGAAAAAACTATTGAATTTTGAAAGTGAATTGGATTATCTTAATTCAGATAATTATTGTGAAAAATTGATTGTTAACATTAAGTTGAAAAAACTATTGAATTTTGAAAGACATACGTGTTATGTTGAAAAAATATGTAAATTTGTACTGATATAAATACGCAAATTATGCTGTGCATACGGTTGCAAAACGGCGCCGTTTTGGTAAAAAAAAACGCGCGTCTCACTTAAAGAAGAAATCAGGTTCGATTCCCGGCAATAGCACTTTTGTATATCCAGAAATTCATAACTATATATCCACAAATTCATCCATTAATAGAATTAGATGCAAATTAATTACCTTGGTTAATGTCTCGGCAATTGGCTCTCTAGGGTTTCTAGAGTTCTCTCCTCCCCTAGGGTTTGCTAGGTTTTCATACAGTTTTCTTGAAGCTTTTCCGGTGATCTGTACCGGCTTGCGACGCTAGTCGCACACGCTACGAACGACATGGCAGCAACGGAGGCGGACGGTGTTGCGGCTTTGACTCGGCGGTGGGCTGATATAGTTTTGGATGAGGAGGAGGACGCCGTGTTTGCGCCGGCGGGGACGACGGAAGGAGACGAACAGGCGGAGAAGGAACAGACGTGGGGAATTGTGGGGCGATTTCTGACAAATAAGATCATAAAAATGGAGTATATGCGTCAAGTCATGGCATCTGTTTGGCAACCGGTACGGGGGGTTCAGGTTTCGGAGATTCAACCGAATCTGTTCCTTTTTGTTTTTTATCATGAGACAGACGTTGAATATGTACTGGATGAGGGCCCATGGTCGTTCAATAATCACTCGTTAGTTTGCAAGAAGGTTCCGGATGGGGTGTTACCGATTGATGTGGTGCTGGATACAATTGACCTCTGGGTACAAGTGCATGATTTACCGATGGGCTACACGGGGGTACCAATTCTTGAGCAAGTCGGGAATTTTATTGGTACTTTTGTTAAGCTGGACGAAAGATTTATTGGGGCACCTTGGATCACGTACTATCGTATTCGGGTGTCCATACCAGTGGATAAACCGATTAAGCGAAGAATGAAGTTGCTCAAAAGAGATAAAACGACATGTTGGGTTAATTTTAGGTATGAGAGATTGCACACGTTCTGTTTCTGTTGTGGTATGTTGGGACACTCCTATAAGTTTTGCCTAAAGGCTCGGGAAGCGTGAATACCGGTAGAACAATATCCCTACACTGCGGAGTTACGAGTGGGGGGAAATCGCGGGCCACGGGAGGTGGGGGGCCCCTGGTTAATTCCCCTTGGCGGAAAGCCAAAGGAATTTCCGGCGCAAGGGACCCCGAAGAGGCAGCCGGCAGTACGGAATGATCCGAATGATGACGCCGAGAGGAGTGAGGCCGAAGATGTGGTGGCTGCAGTGGCCAAGCGCCGCCGAGAGCATGAAGGGGATAGTGCTGATGTGACGATGATGGAAAGCTCAAAAAACTTGTTTATGGCGGGTTCTGGATCACAGACCCGCCCAATCCAATGAGTACGCTGAGTTGGAACTGTCGTGGCTTGGGTAATCCACGGACGGTTCGAGAGGTGGTGGACATGGTGTCCCGTAAGCAACTCGACTTTGTATTTCTAATAGAGACCAAAGTGGCGCGAGATCATGCTGAGCGGCTTCGTGTCACAATAGGTTTCGAAGGTTTGTTTTATGTTGACAATAATGGTTTGAGTGGTGGATTAGCGTTATTGTGGAAAAAGAATAATACGGCAAGGCTCCTCAGTTACTCAAGAAACTATGTTGATATTGAAGTAACTATGACAGGTCATCCGCCCTGGAGAATGACGTGTTACTATGGTTTCTCGGAGCGTAGTAGGCGTGCTGAATCTTGGGATTTGTTGAGAATGTTGGCGACAAAATCGAATCTCCCATGGGTAGTGGTAGGGGATTTTAATGATCTACTATATCAGTATGAGAAGAGAGGGGGAAATCTACACTCGAATAGCCTTCTTCGAGGTTTTGGGGAGACGATTGAGGATTGTGGATTGGCCCAGCTGCCGATGATTGGATATCCATATACCTGGGAGAAGGGGAAAGGGACTGCAAATTGGATTGAGGAGAAACTTGATAAGGTTTTGGTGACGAATGAGTGGCGTAATATAATTCCCCATGTAAAGGTCATGAATTTGAGAACCAGGAAGTCAGATCATTCGGCCATTTTCTTTACAATTCAGGAGGAAATAGGGAGGGATGGGGGTAGGAGGAGGGGTTTTCGATTTGAGATGGCCTGTTATATGATGAGGGGTGTAGGAGTGTGGTGGAGCAGGCGTGGCAGGAAGGAAGGGGACAGGGTTTACAGGATTGTGTTCAGTACTGTGGAAACCGGTTAACACGCTGGGGTGGGGATCGGTTCCATAAGTATGGGAAACAGATTATGAGATTGAAAAGGGATCAACAACGTTTGAGAGGACGCACTGACTCGGCCTCACTTGCCGAATTTCAGCGAATAGAGCAACTTCTGAGTCGCACTGAGGCCCAGGAGGATGCATACTGGAGGCAGAGGGCCAAGCAGCACTGGCTCAAGGAGGCCGACGCTAATACCAAATTCTTTCACAGGTATGCCTCGCACCGAAGGAAAAAGAATACTTTATATAAATTAATGAATGACAATGGGGATTGGTTGGAAGGGGAGCCTATGAGAAATACTATTCTGGATTATTTTAGTAATATTTTCAGTTCTGGGAATCCGAGATCTGGAGAGGAATTTTTTGGGGGGATACAACCCAGGGTGTCACAGGCACAGAATGACTCACTATTACAGCCCTTTAATCTTGAGGAGGTAAAAGATGCATTGTTTGCAATGTATCCTGATAAGGCACCAGGACCGGATGGAATGAATCCGGGTTTTTATAAGCATTTTTGGGATGTGGTAGGGGGGATGTCGCGAGTTTTGTGCTTAACTGCCTTGAATCTGGTGAGCTTCCATCTGGTTTGAATGAAACAGATATTGTGTTGATCCCTAAAAAGAATAATCCAGAGTTAGTAACTGATTTACGCCCTATAGCACTTAGCAATGTGATTTACAGGATAATTGCTAATGATGGCTAATAGAATGAAGCCTTTGATGGAAGGGATAATATCCGAGTCACAAAGTGCTTTTATCCCGGATAGGTTGATAACGGACAATATTTTGTTAGCTGCAGAAGTAGGACATTTTCTGAATCGGAAACAGTGTAGTGTGGGGGGATGGGGTGCACTTAAGCTAGACATGGCTAAGCCATATGATCGTATGGAGTGGCCCTTTCTCCGTAATATGATGGTGGCGTTAGGGTTTCATGATAAATGGGTTGAATTGATTATGAAATGTATGACCACAGTTTCCTACAGTATTCTGGTGAATGGCTCGAGGAGTGACCCAATAATACCCACGCGTGGTTTAAGACAGGGAGATCCGCTGTCCCCATACTTGTTTATTATCTGTGCAGAGGGGCTTTCATTGTTACTACAACAGGCTAACAACACGGGGTTAATTCATGGATGTAGAGTGGCAAGAGGCGCCCCCCAAATCTCTCACTTATTCTTTGCGGACGATAGTCTTTTATTTTTTAAGGCTAATGTGGAGGAGGCAAATGAGGTAAAGAGATGCCTGACAGTATATGAGGATCTATCTGGGCAGGTGGTAAACTACCATAAGTCAAGTATTTGCTATAGCAGAAATACGAGTAATATGGATAGGGAAAGTGTGGCTCAAGTCTTGGGGGTGGGGCAGGCTCCGAATTTTGGTAAGTATTTGGGTTTACCTTCTTTTGTTGGAAGGAACAAGAAGGCAGCCTCTGCATATATTGAAGATAAAATACGCCAAAGGATTGGATCATGGAATAAAAGGCTGTTTTCTCAGGCAGGGAAAGAAATATTATTGAAAAGTGTGGCACAATCTATGCCTACCTTTTCAATGAGTGTTTTTTTGCTACCTTTATCAGTATGCACGGCTATAGAGGGGACCATGAATAGATATTGGTGGGACTCTGGGGCAGATAACCGAATACACTGGAAGGCTTGGGACAAATTATGCATCCCTAAGAAGTATGGTGGATTGGGATTTAAGGATTTACGTGCGTTTAATCTAGCTATGTTGGGAAAACAGGCATGGCGAATGCTCACTAAACCTGATTCCTTAGTAGCTCGTGTTTATAAAGCCCGGTATTTTCCCAAAGGTACTTTCTTTGATGCACAGATAGGGAATAACCCCAGTTTTTGTTGGCGGAGTATAATGGCAGCAAAGAGTATAATTTGTAGTGGGGTCAGACGAAGGATTGCGAATGGGGAATCTACACTCATATGGACTCACCCATGGTTGTTAGATGAGCAGGATCCTATGGTACAGACAGAGATGCCTATACAGTTACGAGAGGCCAAAGTAGTGGGTTTAATTGATCAACAAACTGGTACATGGGATAATGATATTTTAACAGATTTATTTCAACCTACAGATGTGGAAAGAATTATGAGGGTACCTGTATCCCAGGATTATAATGATGCGTGGTATTGGTATGGGGACCCAAGAGGATTATATTCTGTGAAAAGCGGGTACAGACGGTTGGTGGGAGATTATGAGAATAATCATGGGGCATTTGCGAATTGGTTAGCCTTGTGGAGACTCAAAATCCCACCAAAATGGAAAATGTTTCTTTGGAGGGCCATTTGTGATATATTGCCTACAACTACAAACTTGCTTTTAAAGAGGGTGGATGTGAACCCATATTGTGCCATGTGTGGGATATCACAAGAAAATACAATGCATGCATTAGTCTTGTGTGACTTTGCAAGAAACATTTGGGAACAATCCAACCTTACAATCCCCAATATTGTCACGGATATTTTTCATGTTTGGTTTGGGGAACTACTAAATATTTTAGATTCTGATGGAATGTTATATGCAGCATCAATTCTATACAATATTTGGAGAGCTCGAAATGGTGCAGTTTGGGAGGCATACTTACCACGCCCGGGTTCCCTACTCAGAGCCGCTGCTGCTGCCAAGACCGCATGGATCCAATCCCACCCCATCTCGGCTGCTACTACCACCGCTACACACACTGCTTCGATGCCGAGAGGGGACGAGCGCCGCACTGCCCAACACCGCCCCACTGCCGACCGAGAAGCTGCCAACGCCGCCGGTCACTCCGTGCCGTTGGTAAGAAGATGCCGGGTCGATGCGGGATATTTACACGAGACAGGCAAGGCCACTGTAGGGGCTGTTTTGCTTGATGATGATGGAGCTTACATCTCGGCCCTAACCGCACCATTACCGACTTGTGTATCACCACTTATGGCTGAGGCTTTGGCGTGCAAGGAAGTTTTATCATGGTTAAAGGATCGAGGGGAACAGAGTATCGAGATTTACACGGATTGTTTGACACTACAACGCTATCTTACAACACCAACCATTGCGTTTCGTTCTTACGTTGGCTATGCCATTGACACCTGCAGGCAGATTGCCACTTCTTTTCAGTCATGTTCTTTTAATTTTATTTTTAGATCAGACAATTATTTAGCTCATGCTTTAGCTACTACGGCTTATCAGCAACTTACTGCTATGTACTGGGATATCCACCCACCAGACATTATTTCAGCATTTTTCTAATGAAGCACCGCAGAAAAATTTTCAAAAAAATATATATATATCCACAAATTCATAACTATATATCCATAGTGAATGAATGAAGTAAAAATCCACAATGAATGAATGAATGAAGTAAAAATCCACAATGAATGAACTAAATATCCATAATGATTGAACTAAATATCCACAATGAATGAACTAAATATCCATAAATTCATAACTATATATCCACAAATTCATAACTATATATCCAGAAATTCATAACTATATATCCACAGTGAATGAATGAAGTAAATATCTGAATGAAGTAAAAATCCACAATGAATGAACTAAATATCCATAATGATTGAACTAAATATCCACAATGAATGAACTAAATATCCACAATGAATGAACTAAATATCCATAAATTCATAACTATATATCCAGAAATTCATAACTATATATCCACAGTGAATGAATGAAGTAAATATCTACAATGAATGAACTAAATATCCACAATGAATGAACTAAATATCCATAAATTCATAACTATAAATATCCACAAATTTATAACTATATATCCAGAAATTTATAACTATATATCCACAATAATGCTATTGCCGAGAATCGAACCTGAATTTTTTTTTTTAAAGTGGGACGCGCGTTTTTAGTCAAAACGACGTCGTTTTGCATCGTATGGAAATTATGTTTAAAGTGGGCAGATTCCGATCCTTGTGCGCACTGGTATAGTGAGATTGGGGCTTTAACCTTTTGGGTAAAAGAAAGTCCATACATATTTATATCAATAGTTATGCTGTGCAACCGAATGCACCATGCGCATGGTACATTCGGTTGCACAGCATAACTATTGATATAAATATGTATGGACTTTCTTTTACCCTTAAAGCCCCAATCTCACTATACCAGTGCGCACAAGGATCGGAATCTGCCCACTTTAAACATAATTTCCACATTGCCACCACTGAGATTTGAACCTTGGTCTCTTACCTCAAATATTACCTACTAAACCATTGAGCTAAGCCTGTGCAGGTTGTATGGACTTTCTCTTCCACATGGGGGTGGACATTAACATTTGTCCTATTTAGTTATATACTACGTATGATACAAAAAAAAAGTATGATACAAAAAAAAAAAAAAAATTTAAAATTCGAATTGACTACCTAAATCTCTTTGGATAAAGATAATTTAGTTTGTTGTCGTCCCTACCCAGCAAAGCATTTCAAAACAAGAAAATGAAAGGCGTCCAACATAGTACAACCAATTTGAGATCCCTACAATTTTGCATTTCAAACTTCACTCAAATGGAACCAAAAGCAACCCGACAGACTACACGTGTTATTAGATTGGCTTCACGTTTTACCTACATGGCTTCACGGCAACTACAAACCTCACCTTAGTATAAGATGAAATTTGAAATAATCTTTCTTAATGCTTCTAAGTATTATCCCACCACAAATTTGTTTAGAATGTGGAAAAACTACAATTACTACCCAAGAGAAGAGTTGCAAAAATATTGTCTAAGTAACGATTAATCGATGCCTAGACGTTGGGCGTTGGCCGACCGTCTAGCGTATTTCCATAATCGGTGGTCTAGGCGGCTGGTCGGCTATGCGTTCGACTAGGGTGCCTAGGCCGCCTAGATGCCTAGTCAGACGATTAGGTATTATTCCTTTATTGTTTTAAATGGGTTATTTCACTCAAAGAGACATCGTTTTGAGCAAAATAACTCTAAATTGTTCAAACTCTAGATATATTTTAGGTTAATATTTAATATTTTAGTATTAACTATTAAAGTATTAAATAATTTATAATTATCAAGTCTTAAAAAATTAAAAATTTTAAACAAATTTTGAAAAAAAATAGAAAATATACGGGTGCCTAGGCGCCGATTAATCGCCTCCTAGGCGCCCCCGAGTGCCTAGCGATTTTTTCAACCATGCTCGAGAGTGTGCATAGAATAAATATCGCATCGTGACCCAATCGGCAAAGAATCAAAATAAAATAAAGCAACCTTGGTTACTCATAAGTGATCGGCTCAAACATAGAATGTCAATAGATCAGAGTTGAACCTAAAACCTTAACTTTATGATTACCAAGTCAATAATCTGAACAACACACTACAATTTTGACTTTTGGTGATTTGGGTTGTGTATAATTTTGTAGTGAATTTGTCTTTTTACAAATCAAAACTGCACTGTGATCCCATATGTGCTAGGTAGTGGTGTCAATATCGCATGCATCTTATATTCCACAAGAAGTTCATTCATCATTGTATGTCTTCTGGTGTTGGTTTTTTCCTAAAATGACACAATTAAGTTTGCTCTCACTGGGCATTTTGAATTCAAATCATTTTCTTCCCTTTGCAAATTGCAATATTAAGATTTAAGAGTGAATATTTGGTTTAAGAATACAGTTTCATGAAATATGGGGATAAGTGTTATTTAATGATGCAATGGGGAGTACGGTGAAATAGGAATGATTAGAGTAATAACCGTGAGATTAAAACAATCCAACTCTTTTTTTTTTTTTTTGAATGCTACTAGCTCTATTACATTGTAGTATCTGTTCATATACTTTCTCAACCTACTGAAACACAAAGAGCCAATAACACCTCCACACTGAGGCAATAACAATCCAACTCTAATTGCATTACTTTCATCAAATCCTTACTCATCAAATTAAAATTTATTTGGAGCAGTAGATTACTCCAATTGCTCTTAGAAAATTTATTTAGGGTATGTTTGAAAATTCGAAAAATAACTTTTAAAAGTCATTTTTCAAAATTTTATAGTGTTTGGCTATCAAGTGAAAACAGATTGCTCCAATTGCTCTTAGGGAAATGCACTACTCCAAATGCTCAAGTTCTTTAAACGGAACACATTAAATAAATATTACGGAGTAAAAAGTGAAAATGCCCGTGTATCTTGAAATCAATTTAACACTAAGGATTCTACTTGATTTTATGTTACGAGATAATTTCGTTGTTTAATTAAATCAATTTGATCAAAGAATAAATAACGAAATTGAAAGCATAAATAAAGTAAAGACACAGTAGAATTGTTACGCAGTTCGGAGCGCTTCTCCTACGTCTGCGGGGCAACCCACGTCTGCCCAATCCACTATAGATGTTCACCACGGAGTATTACAAGAGGTAATTTAACTACAAACGGCTCATAGCCTTTACCACTATAACTCTTCTTAAACACCTATTCAGGACTGAACCGTGCATGCCATAACCACCTTTGGTGTATCTCTTCAGCTGTCGCAGGTACTGACTTGAAGTACAGAATTAAATCACAAATATAACATAATCAATATTAAAGCAGTAATATAGGAAGCTTGCGTATGTGATCAGAATTTCAGAATTGGCAACTTCCTCTTTCGTTTTCTCTTCCTTATATACTGTACGCAAATTCCATTTTCTTTCATTGGAATCTATTGTTGTATCATTTGATATGATCATGTACATGTGATGTACTTGTTTATTGATACTTGATTGGGCTTTGGTGAGCCCTAATCCTTCTTGATGATGACTATGTGTTACTATATGTTTGGTGGTATTGTTACTTGAGCGTTGCTCATGAGTTCGGTGGTTGTTACTATGATATTTAACGGTGGTATTATGTTTGGTGGTATGTTTGGTGGGGGACGACGGTCCCATGCGGAATAAGGTTGGACTTGGTGTACAGGGTGACACTAGGAGGTAAAGGTTGGAACTGAAATAAGGTTGGCCTGGAGAGAGCGGTTAGAACAGGGCATAAAAGAGAGGTGATTTATTGAAATTACTGAGACAATTCATAAAAGAGAGTTGATTTATTTAATCATTATAAATAAATTAAAAGAGAGACCAATATTGAAATTACTGAATTGTCCCTCTATTTAATACCAATTTGACGGAATAACAAACGGAGGACTATATTAAGAAAAAACACAAAAGTCTAGGACCACATTAGGACACCAAAGTCGTTTATAACAAAATTGAGAAAAATCACTATAGTCGATAACCATTTTGAGTATTAACTCATTTTTATATTGACCCGACCTGTCTTTATTAGTAAATAAGGATTGACGAGACGATCTC